AATGTTACTTGCTCGTTCACAGACTTTGTTGAATGTTATTACTTGCACGTTCACACACTTTTTTCGATGTTCTTATTTGCACGTTCACAGACTTTGTTGAATGTTATTACTTGCACGTTCACAGACTTTGTTGAATGTTTTTACTTGCACGTTCACACACTTTGTTCGATTATTTTAATATGTGTTACAAGGTCTCTTGAACACAGCATTTACAACTATTGGACGAAAGATTTTTCTGTCGAGCATTCCTGGAAAGTCTTTACGAAACATAATTAAAATGCTCCACTTCTTTAGAGATATTCGTAAAATAAAAAATAAAATTTGCTCTAATCTTTAGATTTGTGGATGGACACAACAACACAGCTGATAGTCCCTGGTCTCGAGAGTACCACTTCTTTACAAAACCTTCAACCAGTGACCACGTATAATATTCGTGTACAAGCCGAAAATAGTCTGGGACCCAGCGACCCCAGTAACGAGATAGAAGTAACAACACTGGAAGAAGGTAAACAGGAGTTATACATATATTTTAAAATACTGTAAGTAATACGGGTAAAAACCTTTAATGTAAACGTATTTGGTTTAACCCTAAAATTATTCATAGGGTTCACATTGCATCCATTTGGCATGGCCTGGAGGATAGGGCGTTCGAATCACAATCTGCGGGAAACCCTTTCCCGAACATGCTCATCCTTTCAGCCGTGGAGACGTTATATAGTTCCGGTTAATCCCACTATTCGTTGGTAAAGAGAAGCACAAGAGTATCTTTGGACGCAATCCAACGAACAAACAATAATCCATCAGCATCATTAAACAACAACTATCTATTTATGATTTACTTGCGGATCCATGTCTACTGTTTAAAAGAAGCCTAATTAATATATCAATTAACCGTAATAATTAAAAGATGTTTCCCCAATTGTTTGTTAATTATTTACGATGAGTGACGTAACAGGGGAAAACATAAACTTACTTAGTGTGATGAAGATATGAGTTTTAAGTTCCAAGAAATCACGTTAAATCAAATATGCATTTAAAAACAATATATAATAATAATAATAATTAAATTATAAATTATATATCATTGTTTAAAAACCATTCAGATAGCATTGTGAGTCCTTTTTTTTCTTATGCAGCACCCTCTGGTGTCCCTACTGAGGTGAACGTTTATTCCGCTGGCTCTCAGTCTCTCAAGGTTATGTGGAAGGTAAGACCATAGTTGTGTCCAAATATTTACTTTCTTAGAGAAAATTAGGCCAAAACATTTCTACTAAAGTATATTTTTGTCCTTCCTAGCCAGTAGATAAAACTCTTCGTAATGGACAAATCAAGGGTTATAACGTGGGTTTCCGTAAGACGAGCTCTGATGAGCCCTATCAAATAAGAGATATCGCTACAGTGACGTCATATTCTGAGACTGATGGCTGGCACACGACGTATCTGACCAACCTAATCAGACTGACCAACTACAGCGTCGTGGTACAAGCCTACAATAAAGCAGGGTTCGGGCCCATGACCAAAGAAGTAACTGCGTCAACATTGGAAACTGGTAGGTTCTATACACTAATCTATAAGTGCGTTTTTTTTTTCTCACTGTTATGATATTCTAGCCTCCAATGTCAAACTCAAAAGTATCTATTATAATAAGAAAATCAAATCTTCAACTTCTAACTTATTAAATATAATTAATCAAACTTCAATTGGAATTATAATTTTCAACTTGAACGATACCATATGTACAGGTGGGTTAAACGACAAGGCCAATGACCACTAGAAATTAGGTATAGCAGTTCCTAGTTTTAAGTCCTAACCAGAGACAAGGCAGCCAATCAGAAGCAGTCCCTAGTTTTAAGTCCTAACCAGAGACAAGGCAGCCAATCAGAAGCAGTCCCTAGTTTTAAGTATTAACCAGAGACAAGGCAGCCAATCAGAAACAGTCATTAGTTTTAAGTATTAATCAGAGACAAGGCAGCTAATCAGAAGCAGTCACTGCCACACTTTATTTGTCAGGTTCTTCGAAAACGAATAACTGATTTGACTGTGACTTTTATAACGCGTTCACAGCTGAAAAATCGGAGCACGTTCAGCGGAGGAGCGTCTCGAGTCCCAAATATTTGGGTTTGCAGCCTGACATTATACCCACAAGGCCACACCCAGCCAAACTCACACTTGATGTTATTGTGTGGTTTAAGGACGAATATTTAAAAATCTTACTTCATCCTCTCAAGATGCACTGTGAGTAATTGAACACCCACCCACTCAGAGGAAATCTAAGAACGATTTTTAAATACAAAAACCAGCAAAACACAACATCGAATGAACAAGTGAAATACAGTGATTAAAGTGAAATCTTTCTTTTGTACACTGTGAAGTGGTGGCTTGCTCTCTATATGTTCGTTTATGTAATATCTTACCCCCTTTTGTGTTCGCTAAAGCAATGGCTTGTTCCCTACGTGTTTGCTTATGTAGCGTCTTGCCTCTCTTGTGTTCTCTAAACTAGTGACTCGGCTCCCTACGCGTTCGCTTATGTAGCGTCTTGTCTCAATTGTGTTCGCTATACTAGTGATTTATTCTCGCATACAGTATCCTACTCCTTTTGTACTCGCTAATGTTGTGTCTTGTTCTTGCGGCTCATTTACAGTGAAACCTTTTAAACAGACAAATATAGAAGAAGAATTAAATATAGAATAAAACTCTAAAATTATAAAAGTTATTTCTAACGTATGGTGTTTAATAATCACGAAACATTCCAGTATTAGAATTTATTGTGTAGAACATCTTATCTGGAGGAACACCACACATAGTTGTGATATCTGTACGTGATATTACATAAGAAGAAGATTGACAACCAATCAAGCCACGTCATTTTTACTGTCACAATACAAGCTTCAAGGAAGGAGACTATTTCAACAATACCTTTATTGTCACAATAAGAGCTTCAAGGAAGGAGACTATTTCAACAATACCTTTACTGTCACAATAAGAGCTTCAAGGAAGGAGACTATTTCAACAATACCTTTATATCTTTACTTGAAGCTCTTATTGTGACAGTAAAGGTATTGTTGAAATAGTCTCCTTCCTTGAAGCTCTTATTGTGACAGTAAAGGCATTGTTGAAATAGTCTCCTTACTTGAAGCTCTTATTGTGACAGTAAAGGTATTGTTGAAATATTGAAGCTCTTATTGTGACAATAAAGGTATTGTTGAAATAGTCTGTAAGGAGACTATTTCAACAATTCCGTCACTTTCACAATAAGAGCTTCAAGTAAGGAGACTATTTCAACAATACATGGCCACACGATACTGTGAAGAACATCAACCGTCGTGCTTCCTGCTCTAAGAGGAACCAAATCTATCAAGGCAGACTTAAAGAACATCTGCCTCCACCAAATCTTTCAAGGCAGGCTTCGGATATAACGTTATTGTGTCGAGGAATCATGTTTTCGAAAATACCATTTTAGGCTTCGGGAACTAAATTTCCGGTATGTTCTACCAAACAGGATTCAGTGATGTTGTTAAATAATCCTAATTTTTCTAGTAGTTTTGCCTGGACATTTTAAGAGCATTGTTACCAGTCCAGTTTAATATATTACCTAGTTCTTGTAGTTTTAATAGCCCTGTTGAAATTAGGTTTCAATATGCATTTAATTTTTAGTTATTGTTATGAATCTTTCTGTTCTAAAGTAACTGACAAAAGTTAGAAACACATTTAAACTTGTCAGTATTAATTAAAGAATGGTTAACTTCACATCAGAGAGTGGTTAACTTAAAGAGTTGGTTAACTTAAAGAATGGTTAACTTCACATCAGAGAGTGGTTAACTTAAAGGATGGTTAACTTTACATCAGAGAGTGGTTAACTTCACATCAGAGAGTGGTTAACTTAAAGGATGGTTAACTTCACATCAGAGAATGGTTAACTTAACGAATGGTTAACTTCACATCAGAGAGTGCTTAACTTAACGAATGGTTAACTTCACATCAGAGAGTGCTTAACTTACGAATGGTTAACTTCACATCAGAGAGTGGTTAACTTAAAGAATGGTTAACTTCACATCAGAGAGTGGTTAACTTAAAGGATGGTTAACTTTACATCAGAGAGTGGTTAACTTAAAGAATGGTTAACTTCACATCAGAGAGTGGTTAACTTAAAGGATGGTTAACTTTACATCAGAGAGTGGTTAACTTCACATCAGAGAGTGGTTAACTTAAAGGATGGTTAACTTTACATCAGAGAGTGGTTAACTTAAAGGATGGTTAACTTCACATCAGAGAATGGTTAACTTAACGAATGGTTAACTTCACATCAGAGAGTGGTTAACTTAACGAATGGTTAACTTCACATCAGAGAGTGGTTAACTTAACGAATGGTTAACTTCACATCGCTTTTATAGGAATGAGTAGTTTCGTAGTTTATGAGTCAGTAAGTGACCTGGATTCCACATGAATCCAACTGACACTTCTTCAATGTCCATCCTAATGATTGGTTAAATATGTAGTTATAATGTCTAAGATGAACACTTCGCTACAACCAGGGTTCAACAACATCAAAAAACTATTTATTTACAATAACAACTCTTAGAAATAAAGTCAACACTTACCAAAACACAGTTAATAAACACGTGCCTAGCCAGGACTTAACACTAATGTTAATAAAAAATATATCGTAAATATCAATACTGTTCCAAATAATGGACTAAGGAAAAACCTAATTTCAAAAAAATATATATAAAAATACAGCAAACACAATATTCCAAAAATACCTTTCAATATTAATAACAATATCGACTGATAAACAGCAATAATTCAAAAAATTGGATCATTCACCAACTATCTGGTGACTGTCTCTTACTGAAGCTTCTGACAGGGTATTTATTCACTGAGTAGGTCACGAGAGTACAACCTCATGCGATCATAAATTTACATAATCTTCTGCTACATTAATAGTATCTGTACGTCACCGCTAGGGAAGCTAGTGTCAGTTTCATCATACATACATATTAACTGAGAATACAAATTGCTAACTAGAAGGTGAGTTAGTGTTTTAATGTAACTAATAATTCATAAATAAACTAACCGATAGAAGGAAATAATAAGTGGACGATAAAAACAACCATGATCATAAATAAGTAAAATTTGCTACCTCACAGTGTTGAGAAAGGATCACTTTAAGTGAAATCATGGTGTTAGACTCAATCAAAGGTAGAAAATGTTTACAGAAGTAAACTAAACTAAACGACTATTCCCTTCAAATGTAACCTATACAATATGAAATATTTTTGTGATGTGTCATCTTGGATAAAACACTGTTATTAGTCAGAACATGAGGTAATGTTACCAGATTTTTTGTTGTTGTTGTTGTTGTTAAGCCTAAAGCTTCACAAAGGGCTATCTGTGCTGTACCCGCCATGGGTATCGAAACCCGATTTTTAACGTTATAAGATATACCGTTGAGTTGCTGGGAGGGTGTGTGTGTGTGTGTGTGTGTGTGTAAACCAGGTAAAAGTTTTGTCGTTTTCATGAAAAACCCAAATTCACTAACTTTATGAATAAATGAGCCACTGAAATATACTGATATTCCCTGTCCTATATTCTTTCTTCATTATATGCTTCATTAATTTACGGAATAAAGTATTGTAAATAATTCTATTCTTTCAATTTTCGTTTTCTTAAACAACTTTTAATTCATTTTTTCATAACATTGTTTTCATATTGTGTATTTTGAAGCAGAAATTATAAATTAATAAGACTAGAAAAATATACAATTAGATCCTGATTTCGGATCCGGCGAACCGGGTTCGAATCCGTGTAATACCACAATAATATTCCTCACGCTTTAAGCTGTGTATGCATTATTGTAGAGAGTGCTGTTAACTGGCTGTTTTCCATCTTAACAGTCGTTCAAAATTATGGACGGCGGCAGATAGCATCAGAAGTTTGCCATAAATTCAAATACAATAAACATTATACCTTCATAATTTGAATACATTAAGGTTTCAGAAGATTATATTGTGTTTTTACAGCGCCACCTACATCTCCTGTTGTCAAAGTTACAGGTGTAACCTCTTCCTCGGCAAATTTTCAATGGAATAGAGATCCAAAAGACAAATCAACAGTCACAGGTGAGACCTCAGTTTTTCTGCTACATCATTCTCAACTAATGTTTCAGTTTTAACATCTGCTCTAAAACCTTTTGTTAACTCACTCTTTTAGTTCTATCTCCAGATATCAAAGGTTTGTGTGTTATACTGGTTTGAGTACATTTTGTATTAAAACAATTTTGAATACGCAAGTCAGCATGTTACATGACGAAAATATCCTTGAACTTAATGGCATTGGATAAGAGAGGAATATGGAGTAGCTTGAGACACCAGGACCATCCAGAAAAAGACCTGCAACAAGTCGTACCCCAATCGTTTTAATCCAAGTCCGGCGTCTCGCAACAGACGAAAATTCAAGAAAACAATTGTCAGTAGCAAAATCCGTCCAGATGCCCTAGGCAACAGAACACAACATAATCAAGAAGGATCACCATCTTGAAATGAAGGCATGGGTTTATCAAGATAAGAATTTTTAATCATGGCTCCCATTCAAATATCCCATACCTCAAGCAGCTCGAGAATGAAACGGTATTCGGGTTATTCCATACCATGACATAGTTGTCAAGTTGCCGAGAGTAGCACCTATGGATTTATGTGTGACCAGACTATTGAGTACGATGCTGGAAAACCGTCGTCCTCGTCCTAGATGGATTTTGTAAAGCCTGCAGGGAGGAGTTGTGTGCTTTAGATATGACAGCCTTACGACAAGGCCTTTAACAATGAACACTACGCTGTAAGACTATCATCAAGATGCATGGTCGTCTGACAGAGTATAGCCAAACGTGGCGACATGGACTGTAACGACGTGGTGGGGCTCAAAATTCGTTTTAATATAATGTATTCAACCTCCGTATAACTGGTGATAGTGAGTTAACATTTTGATTTGATTTTGTCAAGTGTAAACTTCCATTTTCATAACGAAGCTTCTTCCTGTGCTATTCGCCTAGCGTCTTATTGTTTTGTCAACAGCTTTCTAGAAAACAATTGTAAATTTTGTCTTTATTCTAGAATATATATTCCACTTTAAGACCACAAATGGAGAATGGTTTAAGCGACATTTACACAGCAGTGCTAACTCACTTACTCTGAACGACCTTCGGTGCGGAACTCAATACGAAGCCTACTTGACAGCTTCTAACTCGCTAGGAACTGGTGAGCCTAGTCAGACCCTACATTTTCGAACAAAAGATATCGGTACGTATTCCTCTATGAGTTAGAAATAAGACTCAAAATTAGCAGACACATATAAATCTATAATGAATAGTTTGTGTAATTATATATATATATATATAGGTCTTTTCTTTTTACACCAGGAGTGAAATAGAATCGAGAATCTGTGACGTAGAGCCCTAATGCATTCCTTGATTGGCCGCACTCTCCGCTTTCATCAAGCTACCTAAATTAATCGAGGTTACCATATGGTGAAGTAAGATATACTCAAAACCCCATAGATATGAGCATACTGTATATTACTATATGGTGAAATAAAATAGACTCAAACCCCATGGATATGAGTATATATTACTATATGGTGAAGTAAGACAGACCCAAACCCCATAGATATGAGTATATATTACTATATGGTGAAGTAAGACAGACCCAAACCCCATAGATATGAGTATATATTACTATATGGTGAAGTAAGACAGACTCAAAACCCATAGATATGAGCATATATTACTATATAGTGAAGTAAAACAGACTCAAAACCCCATAGATACGAGTATATATTACTATATGATGAAGTAAGACAGTCTCAAAACCACATAGATATGAGT